GGACAAAGCATGTATTCGTTAATCATTGTACCAACCTCAGCATAATGAATCCACCGGGAGGGACAGTTTGACCTTTAGTGCATTAAGTAAACACAATGAGAATACACAGGCACGATGGAAGAAACGGATCATCCTATATCTCACAAACGTTGCAATGTACTATTGCGGAAGCCTTTCAAAAGATCTTACATCGCTGCTGCAGAATTAAATAATGCCATAAAGTACAGAGATTGAAAGGGAAAAAACCTGCAATAAATCAACAGAGGGGACAGTGAGCGCCCAATTGAATTAAACCTATTATTATTAACTATGTCAGGGCCAGGGCTGACACAAAAATGCAGAAAGTTATTCATGCTTGTGGACGCGATCCGCTGAGCTCGTTTGACGGCGTCAGATTAATGAGCCGTTGTAGCTTGTGTGGTTTTTTTTTTATTTCCAGAAACTATGAGTTCTTAACTCTTTTGTTTGGTACTATGGATATCGCAACCCTTCGGTCTTGATTCCATGGTGAATACCGTAAATTTGGGAGAAATGTGGCTTTTCTGCCTACCCCCGGGAGTGAACCCGGATCACAAGGAGTTCGTCACCCGGTCACTGCGAAGTCAGGTTTAGCCAATCACGCTAGGGGGATAGAGGCATTGGACGCTTTTTTATGACATGCTTGTTAGAGCAGTGGATATATTATAGCACCCCTCAACCCACACGGGGGTTGCTTAAAATCCTACTCTCTATATCAGCCGTCCTATGCTCATTGTAGCTTTTCAAGAGCAGTGCAACACGGCGTTCTCTCCCGCAGGATGCCCCAGGTGGTTTTGCCAAAAGGACGTCTTCAGTTCATGAATGTAGTGTTACTTTCTTCGGGGCTGAGTGGTCTCGGGACATGGCGTCTGCCTTGAATGCTGCAGGTCCCGGGTTCAAGCCCCTGTGAAGGCTGGGATTTTTTTTTTCACGTGGAATTCTAGTAATTTTCCATGGTCTCTGTGTAGTCAGATCGGACGCTCGTGTTTATTGTTGCGCACGTAATAAAATCCATTGGTAGTTAGAAATCGAAAAGAGTAGCCTAACGGCACATCCCGGGTGAGAGCTGGAGTTAAAAATCTACCCAAAGTATTTCAGAATCCTCGCTGGTGCTACGGAGTCGTGCACTGAGCTGAGAATCTTTGAAATCAGGCTTGAATTAGAAGTAGAACGGAGCACTTATTGGTTACTAACACTGTGCCACGGTGTTGATCCGTTGAAAAAACCTAATCTTCGATTAGTACACGTCTTAATTTATGTTTGGTGTACTATTTCTCAATATGACAGTATCTTCACATCTAGTATTATTTGACATATTCGTGAGTTACCGTATATAAACTGAGGTAATCAAGTGCTCTCCTCTCCAGAAAATGATCATGTACACAACACACCGTGTGGTGCTGACCACATCCCTCATTGAGTGTCGACTGGATGCTACTTTACATCTAGACATATAATTAATGTGTTAGGAAAACTATCGAATATCTTGTTTAGCCAATGAAGCCTAGTTAAATGTAATGTTTTTATAAATTCACATACACACAGTGTCGGTGTTCTCAAATAAAATATTGATTCTCTTACAGTTTTCTTATCAAGGCCAAACTGTTCCCCTGAAACTGTTCAAGCCAGTTCCGTCTTATGCATGATCTTGTTTAGTGTATTCAGTCAGTGTGTGACTTAGAGAGACTGATTATTCTAAAATATGAGCAGTCACACTCAACAGGCGATGTAGAGAAGAGAATCCTGTTGCTGTTAATGCAGAGGTCAACGCTCTCATCGGTGAAAATTCAGACGAAGCAGATGCAATAATATATACAGACGGATCCGTTATACGCCAAAGAAGAAGCGCATGGGCATTTACAGCACGCTCAGCGGGCAGAACAGTCAAAGAAGCCAACGGCGCCTTCTCCATGACAACCAGCAGCATGACGATGGAGGTGATGGCAGTGACACAAGCGCTTGCCTGGCTTGAAACACAAAAATACACCCGCGTGTGTATACTCAGTGATTCAATGAGTATGATCCGGAGGGTTCAGGCAGGTTCAGTGCAAAGACAATGGCTTGAATCATTACAGAAGTCCACTGTTCGTGGAGTCACCTTTATTTTTGTTCCGGGACACGCAGGCGTCGATGGAAATGAAAGAGCTGACAGGCTGGCTGGATCCGCTATCACTACCGACGGTCAGCCTATGGATCATGCTGATATTATCAATGCCCTCAGAGAAATGGGAAGGATAGAGGACTTTGGTGGCAGTGAATCCACATCACTCGCCAGAATGGCAGACTTGGGAATTAAGATCGGCACAGCAAAAAACGAGACGCACACCAGCTACGCCAGAAGACTTGTTAATCAACATAGAACTGGTACTATTAGCCATCGGACGTTGGGGTTCATACTGAGGGGAGGATCTGAGCACCTATGGACATGTCCGGAGTGCAATGAGGATAACCCAACTAACTAACTAATGAGCAGTCAGTCGCTCCTGATGCATCAGTCAATGTTACAAACATTGATGACATTTCCCCGAATTTTCTGGTCAACTTAACTGAAAGTTGGCACCGGGAAACAGACTCTACTACAGGTCAGAAACATCTCATGTAACAATGTTCTGCCAGTATTTTGCTGCCAGTGAAAGCTGGCCGTTGCTATAATCCGTGACCCACGGGAGAAATACATTGATCGTCCGGGGCATTTTTGTGACGGCATATGTGTTGGGCCCTGACTTTCTGACACGACCCGAGTTGTAGATTTAGCCATCTGTGTTGCGTCGTGTGTTGTTGACCATGGCTGGGCTCCAGCATTGTATACAGTATTTTGATTGGAGTAAGTAAAGTAAGTAAGGGACTCTTTCCACGCCTTTAGGCGTATAGGGCAAGACCTATATTTTTATAGACCAGTCGGCACAAGATGGGTGATGTGGTCAGCATCACGCCGGCCGCCTTTACTTTCCCGAGACTGCACCCGGTACCCACTCAAGGCTGGGTCGACCTGGGAGCCAAGGTAATTTTTGAAAAAAGTCCGGCCCGCCAAGGAGCGAACCCACGACCTTCCGATCCGCGGCGAGCGTCTAGCCGCTCGGCCACGGTGACTTCCTTTGATTGGAGTGTGATTATAAAATTGTCTAGGAAATGCTGTGTTCCTTTATGGATAGCGGATATAGAAGATTTTTAAACTGTGCAGTGTCAGATTACAGCAGGATAGACAGTCGGGTTGCATGTGTGTGTGTGTGAAGTGTGAGTGTTTTTTCTTCAAAACGGTCGTTAAAAAAGACGGGTTTGCTGAAATCGAATGAGATAGGCGGATTTGCGCAGAAATAGCAGCCTTGCTGTACGCTGCAACACGATGTACCAACCACATGTTAAGGGTGATCGCTGTATAACACAAGGAAAGAAAATGTAACTTTTCCCTATACCGTTTGTAACAATGTTCAATTAGTATTTTATGTTTGGAAAGAAAACTAACTTGTGCAATAATTTTCCCGCAAATGATGCTGATTACTTCCAAGAGTGCGTTCCTGTGTGAGAGAGAGAGAGAGAGAGAGAGAGAGAGAGAGAGAGAGAGAGAGAGAGAGACAGAGGGGGGGGGGGAGAGAGAGAAAGAGAGAGAGTCCCCAGCCAGGCTGATTGGTATGGATTTGCTCGCAGACAGACATAGGAAAGTGTTGAACGTTTAGATGTGTGGCAAGTTCCAGCTATGTTTATGGAATGACCATGGAAGACATCCGGGCTCTTAAAGCTGATTTTCGGCGGCAGCATATTACGGTTTATAATCTATGCAGTTCGTGACACGCAAAAAAAAAATATCACCTGTACAGATAAAATATGATTCAAATGTTCAGGGCTTATTTAGGGGGGGGGGGGGGGGGGGGTTATATGGTGATGTTACAACACGTATTTCACAAAGTGAGACACGAGGAGGCGTGTCCGATAGACATGCCAATGTGGACATTTTTTTTCTTCGGGGTTTTGCCTACTTGTCTATATTCTTATTACGCTTGTTTTTCCACAGCGAGGCGCACACGACATTTCGAGGTGACAGGTTCGATTCCGGGCACGGTAACTATAGCTTTCGATTTTTATGTTGTCTAGTGTGTCCTTCTGACTTTCTATGAGGGCCGATCAATACATTGTCTCTATCGATTATACATCTATAATATTTATACAGTTTCAAGGGTTCTCCCTCTGTTTATGCAAAGAAAACGATCAAGTGAAAAATAAACTCCTACATACAGGGGGAAAAGTTAGAGAGGGTTTGGGGGGGGGGGGCGCAAGAGGGTACCTTGGATAATATTGTCACTATTAGGCATTTAAACAAGACTTGGCTTGCTTGACAAAAATTTAATTTGTAAGGTGCTCAGAACCACCCCTATCGCTTTCTTTGTGTCTGCCTTCAACAATTTACATTACATTTATCGGATGCTGTCTTATTTAACTTCACAAAAACATTCCACTTATCAAGAAAGTTTAAATCCCAGCCGTTGCACATAATTCCATCTTTGTTGAAATTAAATTTACTGTACATCAGGGATGCCAGATTCTGAAGGATTGGACCCCTGCACCCCCCCCCCCTTTTTTTTTTGCTTAATAAGTCTCTTCAAAAGTGTTTGCCTTTCATTCTTGATGTTTTATATATATATATATATATATATATATATGTGTGTGTGTGTGTGTGTGTGTGTGTATATATTGTTACAAAAACATCTTACAGTATTCTTTTGTGCAATTTCAACAAGTTCACTTAAGAAATCAAAAAGATTTCAAAAAAGAAATTCAGGTTCCTCTCAGTATCTATGCATTTTTTTTAGTAATAAAGCGCCATCAGATTACCATGCATTTCACCTTTTTTAAATAGTGTATGTAGATATTTATATTAATACACACACACACGCTATGCCATGTATGTGTGCAGGTTGGTGGGAAGTGAGATAATGAGAAGTGTCACATCAAACAGACACCGAATTATTCTTATAAAAGGAACTCACAGTTTCTGAAGACTTGATAACTGAATGAATGAAGCCCGTTTTAGAATAACCAGTCCATTGTGTGCTAAATTTCTGAAAGCAAGCGGAATCATGATTCTCAATATGCATTGTAAACCAATAACTACAAAACAGAATGTAAAGCCAACAAGAAAACAATATTTTTTTTCAAAAATAAAGAGGAGGAGGAGATGGAGGGGAATAAGAATGATCAAAGACTGAAAAGGAATTCTGAAATCTTCCAAAAAAAAGTTTATACTGTAATGCTTTTAATTAACAGTAATTATTTTGCACACACATAATGTTTTTTTTTTTTAACTATAACACAGGCAGAAGTAACAATATAGAATTCAAAGTAATACATATGAAGAAACATTTGGCACGGTTCAAAGATTGTTTGTATGCAATTTTGTAGGCAAACAGAAACCAGGCAGGTTGTTCTAGAAAGCTTTCTTTTTAGCAGGTTTGTATATTTTATATTGTTTCAAATATATTGATTTTTCATTTAATACATTATTTATTCGGCATTCTACTTTGGCCTTTTGAGAACCACAATTCTAACTGTGTGAAGTTACTTCTATGGGCAAAACTTTTTTTTTTTTACGCTTGCACTGGCTGTAAGCTCCAGCGAAAAGTTATGGTTGTTCATCAACAGTGAGTGTTTGGAAGAGCCGAATGTAAGAAGGGCGGGCCTGTACACTTTTGAAAATAGAATATGTTTGTTTGTTCGTTCTACCTTTGAACTTAAGTCTTGTCCTAGAACGGAGTTTTGTGTGTACATCCATTTTACATATCTGACCTATTATTTGTAGGTTCCTTGCCTCTTAGGCAGATGCACTCCTACGTCGAAGGAAGCCCCCAATTAGTCGACTCTTACAACTTTCTTGCTGGGGAGTGTGTGAATTCATTCTTGTCTTCCCCACAATCGGGCCCCAGAACCCACAAGGGAAATATATGCAACCAAAAGCTATTGTGATAAGAAGCTGAATTTTGATATTTTCATTAGATTTTGTTGCTTTAATTTTCTTAAAAAATGTCAAAACTGCACTATAATCATGTCCTTTCAAACTGGTATTGAAAACGAGGTCAAATCTTATCTGGGTAGTGCTATAAATTATATATAAAAACAGATTTTATCAAGAAATTTATTTATATAATTTGCCCTTGTGACCATAGTGACAACTGAGTGCACTTGGTTTTGAACAATCTGATCCATGTAAATTGAAAACTTAAATCTAGACAGCTTTAGGACACCAAGACTTATGTTTGTTCAAAATAAAATTGTTATAACACCAGTTGGTGACAGCTGGCAATCTAAAAAAAGACTACAGTTAGGTTGGAATGATGTTATCCACCAACATTAAAGAGATATAATTTATATTTTTAAAATGAAATATTTTACTATGTAAGACACATTTTATATTAAGTGTAAGCTACACTGATTGTTTTATATTACTTTTAGTTGGCACTTTTCTGGGTTTTTTTTCAGATAATAATAATAATGTTCCACTTTGATACACGGTGACATGGAGATCACAGTCCAAAGACACAATTAGGGCTAGGGATATCATTCCTCCTCTCCACAGCACAAGGACTGGAAAGTACTGTAGACACAATGTGTTGACCATGAAGAATTATCCCTCCTCTCTTTGCCTGTCTTGTTTACTACCGAGGAAAGAAACACAACTATGTTTCATTCAGATGGGTTGTGAATGTTGAGTACTGGTTAAATCTCCAAAGTTGTGAGTATTCTCTTCTTTTTTTCAATCATCTTTTAGCAAGACGACAGCACACTTCATGATATCTCAGAAATCAGTATGTCTGCCTTTGCACACATCTGTATAAGTTTTTGTTACCTGTTGTCCATACTGAAATCCTAGTCCACTATCTGACCCATTCGTGTCCCATCTTCTAATGCAGCAGCCATCAAAGTTCCTCCATTCTTATCCTACCCAGCAGGTGTAGTATAAGGTCTACTTCACCTAGATAAATTATTTTGGCCACTTCAAGAGAACTGAAAAACTGCAGCACATCACTAAAGGTAAAGGGAAGCATGGGGAGACCAAGAACACGGATTCTAGACAGTCTGGCATCATGGCATGAAGAAACACACAAATGACTTCACAATCCAGTAGACAATGCTGTAGACAAACATGACACACAACGGACCATAAAAAGGCAAATTCTGACTAAAAAAAAAGGCAAATTACAACTATAAAGAGGCAAATTCCATCCAAAGTAACTGGCAAAGTCATTCACAGATGACTGAATTATTTTCTTTTAAACATTTGAACAGCAGCAGCACTAGAGCCTACTCTTTGTGATTTCCAATGCTATATAAATTTTAATATGCACTACTTATATCTAAAACCTATAGTTTATTGCTCTTATCATTGAAGGTTATGATTCCAATCTGACTAATAAAAAACATCAGAAGAATGTGGGATTTTAAAGAGTTAGTTGCATGCCCATTTCAAGCCATGGCAAATCAACACCAGAATTTATTGACTGATGTATGGTTTCACTTAGCAATTTTTTTTTATGTTTAGTAGTTTGCCACTGCCTACTGAATGTCAGATGCTCAATGCCATTGTCAAAATCAACTCAAAACTGATCTGCCCCCCAAATCACCTGCAGATTAATATACTACAGAGTACTGTGAAATATGAAATAATGTTGATAACCACTAACAACTTGGAGGCCTGTCAGGGTGTGTTAAGGTCAAGGTAAAGGTGTGGGCAAGGTCATTTGATCATTCTGACATAGATTCTCAATTCTGGTTGTTCGTCAAGGTTTCTCCTAAGACATTGATCTTGAATTTCACCTGTCCTCCTGTTTCTCAGCTTGCCTGTTACTTGCCCATCTCCATATGCACATAACAGTTGGATGGACTGCATGTAGTTCTAGTGGCAGAGAGCTGGTGTTGGACTGATCTGTTTCATTAGTTTCAAAATGTAATAATGATAAGCATTCTGTATGGTTTCTCTAGCATAGGAACAGACAATTTATGGGTAGACCATCTGCCACAGATGTTGGAACTATGACTAATTCTATATATAACATTTTCTTATTCTTCTCCTCCTCTTTATTCTTTAACAGAATATAGGCCCTCAACAAACTCAGGCTGTCCTCCTATCCTTTGCTATCACAGGCAACTCATTCTAGGATCGTCCCAGTGTTTTTTTTTTGTTTTTAACTTCACTCACTAATTCCATTCTCTGTATATTTTTTGGCCTAACTTTATTTCCATATAGCATTTTAACTCTAGCAAGCTCATAAAACAAACAAATGTATATACTCACAAGTGAACAGTGTCCGGTGGGAAGTTAATGGTGGCCAAAGACTTTAAGGGAGCTGAATGTTGAGCACAGTCAACTTTTCGTCCTCTCTGCCTCTTCCCAGTGCCTGCAAGTGTACACTGACAGCCAGGCACACAGGCATGACACAGTGATAACAGGGCTGTCAGCAACAGCAGCACAGCCAGCAAACGTTTCTTGAAGCCATATATCTCCATGATATTTACATTCCTTCCTTAAGAGGTTGAATATCACAAATCACCATCATATCCCGCAATGTAATGATTTCAGCATACCCGGACACTAACATGTTTGTATTATCACATAATCTTTTACTCCATATTAGCAAGTGAATTGAACTCCATTGTAAACATATGCTGACGTAAGTAATCCTTAAAGCACTGAGCTGCTTGTTTCATTTCTATGTAAAAGGTATATACACTAATTTTAAAAACAAAATAATAACAATATGAAACCTTAATAAATAAAAAATAAAGATGTGGATTAGCTAAACACTAAGTTCCCATATAATAAGTTAGTGTGACAAATTCTCTTCCTTTTTGTATTCTATTTCATGACAATTTCCCCAATAACCAGGAAAACTGGCAGTGTGGTAGCATACAGGCTAGACGTTCACATGCCGGGCCAAGGCCCTCGAGCTAAAATCTGTATTAAACTAGCTTTTTTTTTAAAGGTTGATCTTGGCTCCCATCCTAAAATGTGTACCAGATGGTAAAGCTGGCGAATGTGATAGTGAGATCAAAACCCATGGAGAGGCAGGAAAGAACATCAAATGCGGAAGTACTCTAGAATGCCAAAGTTACACCAATCCTGGCAACATTCAGCAAGGTGAATGGGAGACAGAATAATGAATGCCAAGGACATTCGGTATAGCTTACTACATATTTAATAGTTTCTACTTACAGTATGTACATTTCTTTGTGTGTATATAACCCCACCCAGTTGTTACATTAACCAACTAGCTCTAAGACTAGCAACATCCATGTTAAAGACCTCTACAGGAATCCTTAGAGACAGTCTTCATTTACGACAGGGCTATTCAAGTTTACTCATGGGTCAAAATATTGAAGATGACCGTCATCGCAGGCCAGATCCTTCAGTCCTAGCGTTCCAAGATCATTAATACGAGGACTATTCTAAAATCAACATCTGGCAGGCTGGGAAAAAAAAATTTCATTTTCAGCTTTTTCTTCTTATCTCGGGGCTGCTAGATTTGGTAGGAAATTCCTAGGACTTTATTGGATGGTCCTATAGTTTGGGGGAAGTGTAAAGGGGGGGGGGGGGGGGGGGGGGGGGGGGGGGGGGGGGGGGGGGGGGGGGGGAGTAGTGTTAGTCAGTGTTCATTTAACAGTCACCTTACAACATTAAAACTACTACGTTCTAGGCGTGTCCTGTGTTGGTTGTTCTCAGCGTTTAATGCTTTTCCAGTTCTTTTAGGTTAGATTGTTTGTGAGTGTGGAGTTGTTTTGGTCAGATCTCCTTACTGTGTTATTTTTTTTTTCACTATGAAAGTAGTAAACTGGGAGCTTCTAAGTGGTGAGGCAGTCAGGCCAGGTTGTGCCCAGGAATATTTCTTAATGCAGTGGGAATCCTAATTTGAGTTGCATTACCCCTGGGGTGATGTTAGATGGTCGTTGGAGCTGCGGAGTACCTTCTAGACCATTGTGAGCCACCATCTAACACCAAATCACTTCAGAGTGTCTTTGATTACTAGGGGAACCTAACTAAAGACATAATAGTGATAACGTTATAAGCAGTTTAAGTAGGAATTTTCAACTACCCCTCTTAAAGCCCAGACCTGGCATCAAGCAATTTGTATCTTTTCGGTAAGCTGAAGGTCTGCTCGGCTATCCAGTGCGTTACATCGCAGAAGAGCTCATGGATGAAGTCAAAAACTGGCTAAGTATCTTGGCGGCACCATTCCTTGATGAGGGGTTTAAAAAACTTGAGCCACGGTCCGACAAGTGCGTGAGTTTAGGTGGTGACTATGTGGAAAAGTAATGCAGTGATGTAATTACCTTTAGATAGTGGTAGCTAGTTAGGTGCTATGCTGGGGAAAAATTGTCACATTGAACCAGCATCCCCAAAGGAGGAGCTTTAGGTTATAACTGTGAAAGGTTATGTGCAACTTAGCACTGAACACCACCAAAAGACTGAAAAGGACTCAGGCTGTATTGATGTGATCAAAGGAGACAGACCCAAATACTGTCCCGATCGGTGATGAAGTCATCTACCGGCAAGCGACCCAAATACTGTCCCGACCTGTGATGAAGTCATCTACCGGCAAGCCAATGGGTGACCCAGTCACAGATGATGTATATATAGTCATTCTGTTTACATTTTTACCAGCAAATCTAAAGTGGATTTTGGAATAGCCATTGTACAACACAACTGGCAGTGATCCATGGGTCACTTGCTAGGTCTCTGTAGGCCGCTTTTGTGCGCAGGACGCCTGTTGAATAGCCCTGATCTAGTATACCGTTATAGTTCACATAATATATAGTTCCCCAAAGAATGTTTCTTTCTGGCTCACAATGGTCTAGAGGGTACTCTGTAGCTCCAACGACAATCTAACATCACCTCAGGCGTGAGGCAACTCATATGCATATGATAGATTGGAAAGGAGACAAAAATAAAATGGCAGAACATGGAGAACATCTCTGCATTAGAGTATTAAAACTGATGAATGTGCCCCAAGAGAGATGAAGATAAAATTCACAAGTGCTAAAAATGATCTCCCAGTACAAGTGAAAAAAGCATATTAAAGAACAGAACAGATTTCAGCATCTGGCCTTGTAACAGAGAATCCGCCGTAGTGTATCAGCTAGACGTTCCGCCTGTAGATCTGAAGATAGTGGGTTCAAATCCTAACAGAGCCAGACTTTTTCAAAAATGCCCTCGGCTGCCAGGTCTACCCAGCCATAAAACAATATCAGGTAAAGTACTGAGATGTAAATGTGGCTGGCTTGATGCTGGCCACATCACCCACTGAGTGCTGATTCATCAATAAAATATAGGACTAGCATCATATGCCTAATACACCAGAAAGTATGTAAATAGCATAATTGGTGATGTGGAGGAAGTTTTTCGCCAGGAACACAGATGAGTATCATTTATTGTTTACATTAGTCCCATGTAGTCACTTCATAGTTAAAGCATATTTGTGTATGTGTACTGTATTGTTCTTTATGTGCTGATGAAGGCTAATCACCGCAACGTCCTTTGTTCGTTTATTGTGATCGATTTTGTATAGCTAACATAAACTGTTTGTTGTCTCTTACCAACTTATTTTCTTCTCTATAATTTTCTACTCCTTTTATAAACAGCAAGATGGGTGATGGGGTCAACTGCATGATGGGTGATGTGGTCAATAACATGATGGGTGATGTGGTCAATAACATGATGGGTGATGGGGTCAATAACATGATGGGTGATGTGGTCAATAACATGATAGGTGATGTGGTCAGTAACATGATGGGTGATGTGGTCAAAAGCATGATGGGTGATGTGGTCTGTAACATGATGGGTCATGTGGTCAATAACATGATGGGTGATGTGGTTAATAACATGATGGGTGATGTGGTCAATAACATGATGGGTGATGTGGTCAGTAACAAGATGGGTGATGTGGTCATTAACATGATGGGTGATGTGGTCTGTAACATGACAGGTGATGGGGTCAATAACATGATGGGTGATGTGGTCAGTAACATGATGGGTGATGTGGTCAGTAACATGATGGGTGATGTGGTCAATAATATGATGGGTGATGTGTGATGTGGTCAATAACATGATGGGTGATGTGGTCAATAACATGATGGGTGATGTGGTCAATTAACAAATTGGGCATCATCAATAACATAATGGATGATGTCATCAATAACATGATGGGTGATGTGGTCAGTAACATGATGGGTGATGTGGTCAGTAACATGATGGGTGATGTGGTCAATAACATGATGGGTGATGTGGTCAATAACATGATGGGTGATGTGGTCAACAGCATGATGGGTGATGGGGTCTGTAACATGATGGGTGATGGGGTCAATAACATGATGGGTGTTGGGGTCAGTAACATGATGGGTGATGGGGTCAGTAACATGATGGGTGATGGGGTCAGTAACATGATGGGTGAAGTGGTCAATAACATACATGATGTTTGATGTGGTCAGTAACATGATGGGTGACGGGGTCAATAATATGATGGTTGATGTGGTCAGTAACATGATGGTTGATGTGGTCAGTAAAATGATGGTTGATGTGGTCAGTAACATGATGGGTGATGTGGTCAATAACATGATGGGTGATGTGGTCAGTAACATGACGGGTGATGGGATCAATAACATGCTGGCAATGTGGTCAATAACAGATGGGTGATGTGGTCCATTAACAAATTGGGCATCATCAATAACATAATGGATGATGTCATTAATGACATGATGAGTGATGTCAATAATACAATGGGTGGTGCAGTCAATAATCTAATGTGTGAGTTGGTCAACATCATATTGGGCGATCAAGATGTAGTCAATAATATAATAGGTGACGTATTCAAAAGCAGTGAGTGATTTGGTCAATGACAAGCTAGCAGCCTTTATTTTCCAGAACTGTTCCTGATACCCATTCATGGTTGGATCAGCCTGGAAGTCCAGGTCAATGTTTTTAAGCCTCTCCCACGGTTCCATCTTGCAATCGGGTTAATTAAATAATTATTGAGTATTTAGTTACTTTTCTTCTATGCCAATTTTAAATTACAGCTATGTATTCAGATGATGCAGATAACACATACATAATATACAAATATTTAAAAGGCTTTCTTATAGTAGTACAAGGGCATTGAGTCTTTAACACAACTGGAATTTCCATAATTTCTCGTTATTTTATTTTATTTACTTTTTTTTTTAAATATTCATTATTCAATTTCAACTGACAGCGTGTGCGTTCATGTTTTGAACTAAGTATTTGGACTTATTGCAAAGTGTTTGAAATTGTAAATTTTTTATTAAAAAAAACTGTGAACCCCTCCTCTTATTTGTATTTAGTATATAAGTATATATACTATATAAGTTTACTGCAATGTTATTACTTTTTAAAATAAAGAAACGCAAACTTGTTAAGAATGCAAGACGAGTGTTTATTTATTTATTTGTATATATTACTCAAGATATCGGTATGCACCGTGAACTACCAAAACCTC